GTAAACCTACAGACATCGGTCTTGTTTAATAAAATCTGCCTACAAGAAAATCTGTCACCAAAGTATACCAAGTATAGATTTGTATACCTGCCCAAATTTCTAACTGAATATAACTGGTCAAGAGATGTTGCTAGGGGTTAACATGTATTTAAAAGTACATGGCCTGTAGACAGTGTATCGCTTACACTTGTATATGGCCTGGTCAAAAAGACTTCATCTGGGTGTTTTACTTGACCAGCATTGGACTATGCTGTCTACTGTCATCACCACCATGACAGTTGCTACCATAGCTATCCAGGAACATGTAATCAGAGCCTTAAACCAATATTAAAAAATGGGGTGTGAAACTGCAAACCTGGGTTCTTAAAGAAATAATCCAAAACAGGCCAGTTTCATACAAGTGCAAAATTCTGCCTTCTGACAGCAGAAATTCTTTAACACTAACATCTCATATTCTGTGAAATTCCTCTCATATACAAGTTTGAGTGTTACTTCTTGCCTCTGGCTACACTTACAGTCATCATTTTCATTGGTGGCAAAAGAGTGAAGCCAGCTCTGAAGAATTTCTTGGCTTAGAGCCCTTGGGACCAGTAGCTGTAACTTTGGCAGTTGATAACAATGGTATAGCATATCATTCCACACTTTTAGCTGCTTGTACAAGTGCCACAGGCTATGTGCATCCATGCTGTTTCCTCAATCTGTACTGGCCATACTTCATCTTGCTTCACAGGAAAGAGCACCCATGTTAACATGCATTTCTCCAGTTGCTTCTACTGGATTTCTTGGAGCATTAATTGTGGCATCCAATCACAAGTGGAATCTCCTACTGTATGGCTTGATGCTACTGTGGCTTTAACTTTCACACAGTGACTTGTGTCAAGATATTAAAGGAACTAATAAGGCTTTTCCTTATGGCTAAACAATCAGTTACTATTTTTGTGTTGTGGACCCATATAATTCTATGACCAAGGTCTAATCCTGATACATTGTGATCCAACTTTCTGTCATCCCTTTCTCATTTATAAAACTCATAAACTACTTCAATGATGCATGGCTCACCCAATGGCTGAACCTTTTGCCAGACAGATAGTGCCTGTAGTGTTTTGATAGTGTTTAATGAAGACCACAACTGCAAGCAGTTTGTAATATTGGCATCCAGGAGCTGTTAGTATCTGACTCACGTAGGCTATTACACTTTCCACTCCATCCTAAGACAGAGATAATGCTGCTCAGATTCTACTATTTTTGGTATAAGTATCCAACAAGTACTCCCTGTTGTTTTGTGGATCAGCCAGCACAGGAGCTTCTACTAAAGGGGACTTCAGCTAAAGAAATGCTTGCTCACCTCTTCATTCCATCTAAAATGTTCATTGGCTTTAATGACAGCAGATAAAGGTTCATTACTCTTGAAGCAGTAGGCTGTGAAGCATCTATAATATTATACAAAATTAATGAAACTACAGACTTTTCATTTGGTAATGGGCTAAGGCCAGTCTGTAATTGCTACAAACTATGCAGGGTTAGTAGATACTCCATTTCTTCCCACAGTATGAATGGGAAATTCCAGCTGCTTGCTGTTCTTATCTGTTGCAATACCATGCTTAGGTACTCAGCAGTGGAATATGCAGCTAAATACAAAGACATCATCAGCATATGCCATGCATCTTTCTCATTTCAGAACCTTCAGCGTAAACTCCATCAGCCTTTTGAAATTGTCTGGAACATCACACAGACCAAATGATGTAATGCAGAACTTATGCAAATCATCTCAGTTGTTGAAGGCAGTTTTTTGGTCTGCTCTTGTTGCTCATTTAACTTAACAGTATCTAGATGCCAGGTCTAAAGTTTTGAACTATTTGGCACCTCCCAATGCATCCAGACATTCATCTGTCCTCGATAATAAAAAGATGCCAGTGTGAGTTACTGCATTCATTCAACTGAAATCAACACAGAATCTTGACATACCTTCCTATGCTCTGACAATCAATACTAAAGATGACCACACACTGAAGGTTGTAAATTTTCGTCATTTAACAACCACTTTATTTCAGCACTGGCTACTTCCTTTTTTCTCCAATTTTTTAATTGGATGTGCATTGCCTGTATTTATGTGATGGGAAGTTATTTTTGTCTGACCCAATCAACTGCTTGGTTTCACATATACATTGTCATATTTTATTAACTGATCACAGAACTTTTGTTATTGTGTTGAATCAAGATACCTGTCTTTTTTGGTTGTTCCAGACTGAGAAATTATGGTATTATATACCAAAAATAATGATACCCATCCTCTCAGGGTGCAGGTGCTTATCATGTGACTGATATGTTCTATGTTACAGAAAGTGTATGACACTTACTGAATGAACTTTTCAGTAACAAGAACAGCTTAGTGGCTACTTTGATGGTGTTTATCTATTAAGAATACATGCTTACTATGTCCAGAAATTTGGAAAAATGTATATTTTAAGTAAGGAGTAGAAAGCACGTGGTATGTTTGAATATTGCAAATTCACCCATTTTCAGTGTTTTATTTAATGAATAAAAAGTTTCACTTGATTTTCATTATCCAGTTTCTTTATTTGCTCACAATTTAGTCAGAGGATTCAGATTCACTCTAAGACACATTTTCTGCCAAATCTATCCAATTATTCTTGAGGGAAGTCATTTCACCTGAGAATACAACAATGCCATTGTGTTGAATTACATACCCAATTTAATTATTTGATGAAAGTTCACATTTACAAATATAAATAGATTCCATCAATCCATGATGCTAATGATCTTTATTTAAAATTCATATTGGTTTTCTAAAGTGCCCATTCAGTAAACATTAGTTGTATCATTATATGTGGCCAATAAAGTATGTAAATGAGAATTAAGTAATTATCAAATTTATATGATATTGTATAGATATATTATTACTAAATGTCATGCCTTACCAGCTGTGGTATTGTATTCTGTAATACAGGTTCCTAGAACAATTAATTTTTAAAAAGGTCTTATTGCACAAAATAGGCATGTAATTTATGTCTCTGTGTTTATATTTTGTCTATACACTGTTTCCAAGCACTGAAAAACTTTGTAATATTGGTTTTATTTATTCTTGTATAAGTTCTTTCTTAAGTAGAAAAAAATTATTTAGAAAATAAAATGCAAGCTAAAGTTCAAGAAATTCATGTTTAAATGAGTCACTTAAGATAAACTAAAGAAGATAAGGTAGTTTCGTTTCTGAATATCTCTGGTAATTGACTTGAATTTTTGTCATTTCTTTTTTTAGTTGCACATTTGATTTAAAAATAAAATCATAAATATTTCTGTATATATTAAAAATAGGAATTACTGCTTAATTTCAATTTTTCGTTTGAAATAATGATGTTTTTTCTCAGGTTGTAGAGTATGTCACACCACAAAAGTTCAAATATTGGGAAAAAATAGGAGAACGTATGGGCTTTGCATACACAGCAAGTGGACCACTAGTGAGATCTTCTTATAGGGCAGGTAGATATCTCATTTCTCTTCCTCTCATTAAATGATATGTACATAAAAAATATTAGATGTTGGATTTTATCTGTATTACCTAATGCTCATAATAACAGAATATTAACTGTTGCAATTTTTTACTTTTTTAATTGCCAGTTACATTTTTTGGGACTGTATTTGTTTTTAAATTCTGTTCATAAACTGTGATTCCAGAATAAGAATCTCAATAAAGCCAGAGATATTTATATTTTAGATTAAGAGGTGTGGAATGGCTTGGAGGTTTGACTTGCAATTTTCAGGTTGTATATTAAAAAAATGTTACCAAACATGCTTGCCTTTTCAGCCATTGGGGTTTTATAATGTGATGATTGATCCTACTTTCTGTTGATAAAGAGTAGTCCAAGAATTGTTGATTTGTGGTGTTGACTAGCTGCCTTCCCTCTAGTCTCTGGCATTATTCATATTAAATTTTTAACAATTCCACATCCATCATTGTACGAGTTCAGTAAGATCTATGGATTAGTGGCACTGAATGATTTTTTTTTGTTTTTTATCATATAAATAATCTAAACATTTTTGGTTTATTTTTTGTGGTAAAGTTAAGTATTATCACTTTTCATGTGGTTCTAGTAGTAGTGTGCTGGTTTGTGAATTTGAGAACCCATGGTTTGCATTCAACTGTTAAAAAATCTCACTCTGCACTGTTGACTAGCTGCCTTCTCTCTAGTCTTCAAGTACAAATTTGGGGACAGCTAATACACACAGCCTTGTGTAGCTTTGTCCAAGCATCTTAAATACTTTCCATGTAAAAACAGAACTTATTTTTATCATATTGAACACTGTGAAAAATGTTTTGCACTGAAACATGAAGTATTGTACATAAACTACCTGTAGCTAAATTTTAATTAAAACTCATTTCTAGTAGCCGATACAGCTTCACTGGTGAGTGGGCAGAGCTTACATGGTCGTCTTATGTTATTTATGCTGTTTACCGATGATGTCTCCTCCTGGACATTGTTTTGGAAGGAAAAACCAAAGCACCTGCTTTGAATGCTGGCATTTGGGTTATTTCAAAGTGAACGGCCCATACCTAACCATGCGACAAGGTAGGCAAGTCTACCGATTTCATCCAACTGCACAACAGGCACAGGAGAGTTGACAGTGAGCAGCTATTGTTGCTACATCAGCTCTAAAAAACTAATAGAGTTCAAGATGGGTTTCTCCACTGACTCAAGAGAGTCCAATGGACAGTTTATGACAAAAGGTTTTATGGTCAGCCCAACTCTCTTAGGGCTAGGTGGCAGTTGATCCCCATAAAGGTACAGGGACAAGAGGTAGAGTTCCCAGTTGATAAAAGAGATGCCAGGACACTATGTATCAGGCACTTTGGATGAAACCACCACTGGCCAAATACAATTGACTTCATTCTGGCAAAAAGTGATAGACTAGATGTGACTATAGAGGCATGTTTCCAACTATACCTTGGTAATGTCAACTGCAGAACAGTGCTGGCAGTGGTATCCTGGGGATAAGCATATTGTGAAAATTATCAAGTAGTTTTGCCCATGAAACACAGGAACCTCATTTATGCAGAAAAGTCATCTAATACCAGTCAGAAAAAGCTCAAGAACAGTAGGCTGCAGGAGTTTATGTTGTGGAGGGAATCACAGCACATTCATGTACAGAATTAGTGTTGTGTGGTTTACTACAGGTGAGTGATAGTGCTTGAAATACAGTTTTTCCTGTACAGGTAGCAGGATGTATTATCTCGAACAGTGATCTGTTTGAGAAGGAATGAAGTTACATTGTTGTTCTTTAATTGTGGGAGACTGGCTATCAGGCTTTCTGCTGAAATGGCCATCAGCACAGTGAGCAAAGTGGAGGTAATCAAAACAAACAGTATCACTAATTTTGCTTCTGTCATACCATGAGCAAGAACAAATGTAAGGTTGCTGACACATCTGAGGCTGCTAGTTGAAAATTTGTGAAAGTAATCTTGATTCAACACAGCAACCGAAGCTCAATCACGTGTTGGTTGTATGTGCTGATGTTAGTGAGGAACCAGATGGCAAAATGGTCAAACAAACATAATTCGCAATCACACCTATATGGGCAATGAATATTCAATTAAACAGATTAATACTTACTAAATGTCATGATGGGGTACTTCCAACAGAATATGCTCATGTTTGATTAGAAAATACTGCTCTCTGTGGATGTCATGTATGGTTCATTCCCAAGAGCAGATGTGGTACAGTGTCAGCAGATATATAGTGGTTACGGTCTAAATTGGTTGATGTGCACAAATTTTTACACCACGGCTAGGAAAGACCTCTGTATGACAGAAGAGATATTATGATTAAACATTCTAACATGGAGATGGTATGGCTTTATTAGATACATGCCATTAGCATGGATACAGCTTGGCTATTACTGAGATAGGTTTTTATCTTGTACTTCAACAAATTGGTTCATTGACATATGAATTACAATGGTCATGTGACATGTTTAAACATGTTAACACATCAACAAGCTAAGGCAGCATGTTCCTGATGTATTTTTCATGCACTGGCTAGTCCAGGAATCAGGTTGAGACCAATGAATTACAGAATGATGGGAATATTATTTCCTATTATATTGACTCAATTGATGAGGAGTAAGATGCTGAAAGTACTTATCTGGCTCTGCAAGATGGGGAAGTGCCTGGAAAAGAGGCACAAGATAGCATTAGTTGTTGGATGAGGTGGTGATGGCAACCTCATAATATTGCTATAGTTGGGACTAACTGCCAGAAACCAGTTAGGATGATCACTAATTGTTAGATCACTGACTGAAAGAAAGTGGTATTCCCTGCTTTCCAAGCTATAAAGTGATGTTTCACTGTGAACTGTATGCATTGGATTGTGTGATTGTTACTTTATTATTAATAGGATTGAAAGGGCATTACTACCCTTACTTTCTAAGCTATCAAATAGTTACATTGAAAAATATCTATATAGTATCTGATGATAGCCAGACAATTATTATGTAGGAAAGCTGGTTTCATTAGATGTAATGCCTAGAATATCACTTTGCACAACTGAGGATGATTGCTTGGAGTTCAAAAATGCAGCTGAAAAGGGTGTTGTGATTCTTGCTTTCCAAACTATCAAATGATTTTTCTATGGCAAAGTGTTTATATGACATTTCATGAGAATTGCTCACCTTATCTAGTTGAGTGGTTGCAGAAGCTCTACAGAGGCTTCATTGTCAAGTTTTTTTGTTTTTTTTATAAGGGCCAGGATTCTTTACAGTAGGTGTCTGCAACTTGTTGGCGATAAATTTCAACAATAAATGGACGCTTATTTCAAAATATATATTCAAAACAAGTCAAACATATGCACAAAAATTTGTTACACTATTGTTTACCACAATTGAATTTAGAGCTTTAAATAATTGTCTCCTATTTTGTCAAAGGGTTCAATTACTTTAGAACACCCTATGACAAGACAACTTATTCTTCTTTATCTCTGTTGTTACAATACAAGCTGTGAAACTCACTTTAGAAATTGCATGTTATGGCCAAACTCACAAAAAATTAACTTCACTTTTTCTTTCACTAACTTTACCTGCAACGTCGAAACATGTAGAGTCGTCAACTTTTTAAAGGCCATAGATAGGCCTAAATAAAATGTTTTTAATTGTGTACCAGTTTTAACATTGAATATTTTTTATGATTTTAATCACTAAATAAACTAAATAATAACTTTGAACTGAACAGCCTTGTATATCCAACACTTATGATACTCATTAGACTCTCCCTGGTACACTTAAGTACATACATATAATTCCTCTGTGTGCACTGAGAGAGTTGTGTTCTTTCTCAGCACAGTGTGTAAATTGGGTAGTTATGAATCTTAGTGAATTGTCTATTTAATTGGATTTATGTATTTTTATTTTTGTAAAATAGGCTTGATTACTTGGTTTGGCTGATGTCTAATGCAGTAGATGTATTTTACTGTGGAACATTGTATTTAGCCTCTCTTGGCTTGAGTATGTATTAATATATTCTGTGATGACAAAATATATATTAATCCTGCTAGAGATTATTGTTTAGATGAAAAGACTTAGTTTGGGCAAATTCTGTTAGAGATTATTTATTTTATGAAAATGTGTTGAGTTTAATGACCTTTAGATAGCTGCATGTTCTGGACTCATAGCTATAAAGATGTAGCTAGTTGGTGAAGGCCATGTAGGTTCCCATGGTACACTTGGCCTGTACTAAAATTGTATTGGAATAGAGTCTTAGGAGGAGGGTGATGTTTGTGTTAAAGTATCCCAATGATCAGAAACTAGAGGCTGGCACTTGTATGGTGGCCAGCTTGTTTCATTTGTATGAGTGGGAAGTAGTATTTGCAGTTACAACTCTTTATTTCTTTTGTACTAGACCTGGTTTCTGTTTATTTAACAACCAGATACTAGTGAAGGGAATATGATTCCTAACTATGAAATTTACACACTGTGCTGAGAATGAACACAACTCTCAGTGCACACAGAGAAGTTATATGTACATACTTAAGTGTACCAGGGAGAGTCTAATGAATATCATGAGGCCTCTGTGGAACTTCTGCAACCACTTGACTAGATGAGATGAGCAATTCTCATTAATGCATTAACTGTTGTCAGGACAGTGACAGCAGTGAGAAGCACAGCTAAATGTTAGTTCTTCATGAGACCCAGTGAAGTCTGGTGGACCAGGACATCCACAGGTCAGAAGATACATTGTCTACAGGTAATACACACATGAGACACACAAGTCTCTAGTAACATCAACTGACCATTAATTATTAGTAATTATAGCTAGACCTTAACAACATTGAAGCGTATACCTTTTGCTGATTTTCTGATCATTCAGAAGCCATGTAACCCGACATCCTTCATTCCTGACTTTTTATTATGTGTGATCAAATCCTTGATTAATTAGGCTATTTTATGCTTTATTGAATGTTGCCAGAGGTTTTGCACACATTCATTCTGTT